CACAAGGACAATGTTTAGTGTGTGTTTGTTTGAAAACAAAATTTGAAATGATAAAGGTGTGAATAATCATGCTTTTATTGCAACCTAGGCAATAATAATTATCAAGTAAAAATACTAAATTCAGCTTTGAGCACTTCTGTCCATATGTGTGTAGTCTGGTTTGGTTTGGTTTACAGCATATCAACCTCAATGCTGACAAGATTTTTTATTGCTGATAATATTTTCTTTTTTCCAAAAATATATTGCTTGGATTAAAACCTATTTTTACACTTTCATAGTGTTTTGACTCCAGTTTGGGGGTTAACTGTTTGCCCACAGATAGGACCCCAAAAAGTGCTACCACCACCCCGGGCCAGGATGGACACTGGAACACCAGCAATTACGAGGTAGTTCCATGCTCTTCAAATCCTCTTGATCAGAGGCCTTGCTGTCAGATGTAGTTTATTGTCATACCCAGTACAATGTGTAGTCTGGTAAAAGTTACAATCAGAATTCAAAGTCCTGGATTTTAACTCCATTTAAACATGGACATTGGAGACAAATATGCAACTTGCTCAGCCACAAATCTGGACCATTTTTATGCATCTGATTGTTTCAGATGTCAGCCATTTTATTTATATATATATATATATATATATATATTACACACACACATTGATATTTGAGCATATCATTACTTAATGGATCGTTATTTGGCAAAATTTTTGACCGGTGAAGCTTCTATTAGTGTTTGCATGCATGGAACAAAATAACAATTTCTCGAAAGGAATAAAAACAAAAGGAATAAGCAGAGTAGAATGTTTTGGTCTATTATTAATCCAATCACTAATAAGCCATAACTAATATATAGACAGATGTGAGTTGGCACTTGGCTCTAATTATCGTCTGCATCAATATAAAGCTTTTTGCTTAATAGCCGCATTCCTGGTCAAAGTGGAAACACAGTTGAAAGTGAGTCCCAGTTACAGGAAAACATGCACAAAAACTCAAGTAACCTTGAAAGTAGAATTCTAATTGTGATTGCCAAATAATAGGTTATTTTTTTTCAGGTCTGCCAAAAGGGCAGCAAATATGAGTTGCACAACTTGGTTCCATCTCTTGACTTAACAATCTTTGAACCATTGTAATACAGCAAACAGCCCTGGATTACAGCTAATTTTCCCCACAAAAAAACAGTGATTGAATGCCTCACTCTGGGATAATGATAATCAGTTTGATCTTTACTGGGTTACTTATGATAATATTAGCTATTTCCTTATAAGGAATCACTTGGCATTCATTAACAGAACAGTGCTGCTGTTGGTTGAAATTTAAAGAAATTGTCTTTCTCTTAAAACAGTTTTTCAAGAAAATAGGTTTCTCAAATCCAGTAACTGTTACAGCTCTTTCTAGTACTGATGGAGGTTTCCTTCCTAATCTTTTGTTTAAAGTGGTGTGGAACATCAAAATTTTGATTATGTCATTATTATCTCTTTGAATTACATGTGATAATCATTTTAATTGTTGAAAGTCCTAAAGTGATTTGGTTTCTGTTATTTGGTACAGTTATTTGTTTGTGATTTTGGAATGCCAGTTCACAAAATTCGAAGAAGGAGGTCCTCACAGAGACCTACATGCTCCACACAATTGAAGCCATTTTTAATCATCAATCTTAAAATGTGTGTTGTGGTGTAACAAATTTCGGCTTGGAATGAGAAATCAAAGAGCTGAGCTTGAATTCCAGTCAGGTTCATGACATTCACTTACATGCAAATAACCTTGGGAAAGATATGAATCTATCTCTTCTCCCTACAGCTATGGGTTAAATAGCAAGACAGACTGGGTCCTATAGCTTATGTTGGCAACCAGTCTATCACATATAGAAATGGCAACCTTCTGTGAGAAAATCATCTGCTTAGTCATGATTGCTCAAGTATGTATTACATATAGCAATTTGACTGACTGAAGAACATGACACATTTTAGGTTAATGTTTTGGTTTTGTAGCAAGTTGTTGTGTTGGGCAAAACTATCCCTAGTGCAGCCTACACTACATTCTATTTCCTTCTACCATAAGTATTTTGTAACTGAGGCATTTGAAAAGTTTAGTATTTACTAAATTTCACATCCTGAATTTTTATGGAGGGTTCATGATAGTTGCCATCATTGCTTTCATTCCAATTCCAAATTATAGTTTCAGTTTTGGAAAGGTTTATCTGAAATCTTATTTCTTGGAACACATGACAGAGGTTGCTTGCAACTGAATAAGCAGAATTTCTTAAATCAGAAACTATGATATGGAATTGGAATAAAAGGAATGATGACACCTACACTGAATCAATCATAAAAATCCAGAACATAGATTTAGTAAATACTAGACACTTCAAATAACTTGATGTATGGATCAGTTATAACAAGTTTAGTATAGAAGATAAGGTAATTGAACAGAGAATAGACTGCACTAGAGGTTGTTTGAACTGTAAAATGATGAGACCTTGGCTTGATGTATGGATCAGTTATAACAAATTTAGTATAGAAGATAAGGAAATTGAACAGAGAATAGGCTGCACTAGAGGTTGTTTGAACTGTAAAATGATGAGACCTTGGCTTGATGTATGGATCAGTTATAACAAATTTAGTATAGAAGATAAGGAAATTGAACAGAGAATAGGCTGCACGAGAGGTTGTTTGAACTGTAAAATGATGAGACCTTGGCTTGATGTATGGATCAGTTATAACATATTTAGTATAGAAGATAAGGAAATTGAACAGAGAATAGGCTGCACTAGAGGTTGTTTGAACTGTAAAATGATGAGACCTTGGCTTGATGTATGGATCAGTTATAACAAATTTAGTATAGAAGATAAGGAAATTGAACAGAGAATAGGCTGCACTAGAGGTTGTTTGAACTGTAAAATGATGAGACCTTGGCTTGATGTATGGATCAGTTATAACATATTTAGTATAGAAGATAATGAAATTGAACAGAGAATAGGCTGCACTAGAGGTTGTTTGAAATATCTAAACTATCAGATGAATACAACCGCTTTCTAAGATCAATGGTTAAAAATTGTTGAAGACCACATTTCTTCAAAGCATGTGAATTGGCGTTATACAATCACAATGAACTGTACGAAATAACAGAAGCCACATCACTTGAGAACTTCCAACAGCAGCAACAACTAAAATGAATAGCACATGTAACTCAAAGAGGAAATAATGATATACTCAAGTTGTTGACGTTTCACACTGAGTAAAACAAAATGTTAAGAAGGAAACCCCTATCAATACTGAAAAGAGCAATAACAGCTACGGACTTGAGAAACATATTTTCCTGATAAATTGTTTTAAAGATAAGAATATTATAAATTTTTTTTTTTTTTTTACAGTGAGGTTCACCCTTTACAAGGCCCACTTGAGGTAAATGGTTATGTTTGTGGGCTTTTTGTGTATATAGGAGTACAAGATAGTGATTAACCCTAGCCTTGAACAGGTTAAAATTCTAGTGATTGGGAAAACATCCTCTTAGGAGTCAGTTCCACAGGGCAGTGGTTTGTGGGAAGAAGCTGCTTGAGTGGAACTTACTTCTCACTGATAGAATAACAAAGGAATGTGGGTGGGTTGCTACAATCTAAGTGGCATGGCAGGTTCTTGCTGTGAAGGTGGTTGGAATGTCGAACCAAATTTTTTTTGTCATTGAATTAAATTATATCTGTGCACACAATTTGAATGAAATTGAAATGGACATCTGTGTCTCCAGGTTTAATTTTCCTGCCTGGCAACAACCCTTGGATAACAGGAAAAGAGTATAAGCCAAAACTTGCAGTCCTTTGAAGTGATTTTTATGATTCAATTTGTTTTTAAACTGAATGTATTTTCTAAAAACTATTGTGTTTTAAATGGACAAAGAATTTAGATTTGAACTTTGCTAGTCCACAAAGATACACATACATAATTACACTATTTACATTATTCGGACTATTGCCCTCATCTTTGTTGCCATATTCATCACAACGTCTCGGCTATTGTATGCTCCGGCCTTCTTCAGGTGGTTGGAATGTCGAACTGAACTGTTCAGTTTGATATACCTGAAGATGGCCGGAGCATACAATAGCCAAAACGTTGTGATAAATATGGCAACAAAGATGAGGACAATAGTCTAAATAATGTAAATAGTGTACATAACACCTCATCTCGGAAATATAGACAGATACTGAAAGATCGGTATGGACCCGATACACCAAAAATATGGAGACAAATTGGTTCAGTTTGATATTTTTTTTTTAATATTTGAAGTGTTTTTACTTTTTGTTTTTTAAACTATTTATTTTCACCTTTTAATATTTGAAACCTTTTTTTTTGATATTTTAAATCTCTATTTTTTTTCATATACAAAAAGGAGTAATAAAAAAACTTTTTTTACATTTTCATACTGTTTTAACCCAAGGTTTTGGGTTAACTATTTGCCTATAGCTAGGACCCTAATAGGTGCTACCACCCTGGTTCAGGATGGACCTGGGAACACCAGCAATTAAGAGGTGGTTCCATGCTTCTCAAAACCTGATCAGAGGCCTTGCTGTCATATATAGTTTATCATCATATCCTGGACATATGGCAATCAAATACCTCTTGGGTTGTAGAACACATACTTTGCAGTTGATTGGCACATTTAAACATGAATTGGCATCTATGCACAAAAGCAAGATCAGACAAGTGAATGCAGTGGTCTGTCTTCTAGACAAGGCAGATCTGGACTGAGTCATGTCAAACTCCAAACCGGCCTATTTTATTGGCTAAGAAAAAAATCCCAGCATGCATTTGTGTACTTCTGCCTGTCAATGAACTGTTACATGACAATAGTTGGACCCTTAAAACATGTAAATTTGTTCTGTTAAAAAGGGAGATAACCGTTTTTTTACATCCCAACAAGTTGTATTAATATTGGTGTAAAAGGGAAGTGGGTGTAGAGTGAAAAATGTCTGCATAATAGAATTTATAACTGATTTTTATTTTTAATCTCAGTTTTCAGGGCCAACCTTGGACAATTACCTTAAGAGCAGACACTACAAAATTTGATCTTCTACCACAGGAACCCAAAAGCCCATATATATATATTGGAGGAATCCCACGTGATAAAATTGCGGAAGCTAAAAAGTATGGCTTTGTTATTAACGGGAAAGAATACATGTCTGTGTGCAATGACGCCAGCAACAGCAATTATTTTATCTTCTATACAGAAAAGATTTCTGTGAACCAAAAGAATTTTGACCAATGTAAAGAATGGCAAAAGGAATTAAAAACAAAAGTCCAAAAGCCACTGCCCAGTGAAGACTTCTTTTATTTCATTGAGATTCATATCAAGTGCATGGCATGGTGTTTGCATAAAGATTTTATATCCATCATTGGAATTGCTCCAGGATTTATATTCAGTAAGTATTTTATATATATTATATATATATATATATATATATGTGTGTGTGTGTGTGTGTGTGTGCATACAAATTATATATATATATATAGAGAGAGAGATAGGATAAAAAGAAAATTCTGGTATTTTTAATTTTTGTATTGTTTAATGTTTCCTATTTGTTCCTTATCCTATCATTCTATTTGGATTCTGGTGTGTGTGTGTGTATATATATATATATATATATATACACACACACACACACAGAGGTAATAATCCATTGGTATATAATCGAAGTAAATCCTAGTAATATAAAAAAAAGAGCTCAATGTATTTATTATAACATAGCATATAAATTATATAGAATAGAAATCCAAAATTACCTCATTCAAATAGATATTTCAACCCAAAAGACTTATATTATTACTTAGCAGATACCCATTACTGTTTGCTTCAGAATTAGTAAGCTTTCATGTAATTGGAATATTTTTAATAAAAATAAAGAATTGTATGACAATGTGTTCCAAAAAATGTGGCTTTAAAAATAAAATGATGAGTTGTAAGCCCAAAAACAGAAAAAGAAAAATAATATGGTTTAACATTACTCTTCTGTAAGTTATCCAACATTAATATCAGAGAAGTTTTCTGAGGTTAATAGATTTTCAAATGAACTACCCTCTACGTAAGATCTTCAATAGGAAAACCATCAAAATAAGCTTTTCCTGCACTTTCATTCAATTGATTTTTAATTGAAGAAAAGCACTTAAAGGTGAAATTTATGCTGGGGGCCCAGTATTTTTGCATAAGCTTTATTCAGCATGTTGATACATCAAATGCTCTATCATCCACCATACATCATGGAGGATAATGCAATTTCTGGCCATTAAATAACATGAATTGTACAAAGAGAAGCATACTGCTAATCATTTTCAATTTAGGGGTAAAATTAACAAAAGTAATTAATTCACCAAAGTTTCCCAAAAGTTTTGCACACCAGTGTATCTCAAATTTATTTATCCATAAAATTTGTATTTTTATTATATATATATATATATATATATACACACACACACTAGTTTGAAGGTTTGAGGTCACTCCTGGTAATTTTTTAAATTGGCCCAAAATATAGTTGTTTTGAACTTTAAATAAGGTAAAATTAATGCACAAGGTTAAAAAAAAAAAAGTGAGACAGGATTTTTTAGTAAAAATTTTATGACAAAAAGAAACATTAATTTTATGATTCAATTTTGCTCTCGTCAAAATATCCTCCGTTAGCCTTGATTACTGCAACACAAATTTCTAGCATTCATTGCAAAAGTTTCTCAAAGTATAAGTTTCATAATTGATTCCATTCTTTTTTCAATGACTCTAAGACCTCTTTTTCCTTTTTTTTCTCTTTCAAGTTCATCCCATGCTATTTCTGGGGGTATATAATTATATCACCTTGTGCAAGATAGTAAAGCTGCTAAGACACAAGGGCTTACTGATTGCGGAAGAACAAGAAAAAAAGAGAAACATTAGGAAATGAGAAGAATAGAAGAGTAATTAAGAAGACAGTAAATACTGATTGACATTGCATTTAAATTTTTGAAGATAAAAGTTGGCTGGAAAGCAAGAAGTCAGAAGAGTTCCACAAACGATAAGTGTGAGAAACTGTTAGCATAGAACTTACAGTTACATCTTGAAAGTATTTATAAAAACGTCACAGGGAAACAACTTTATGGCAGTGGGAAAGTGACTGAAACCGAGATGTCAGGATCAATAATATTGCAGATTCTTTGAATTTTATCAATAATCTCTAAATATATTGCAGGAGCACCATATGTGGCAGTAATATTCAAAGCAATGATGAACGGTAGACTCATAAATATGCAAGATAGATTCTGGAGTGGAAAATTGTTTAGTGCAACACATTGAACTTTCCTAGCAGTAGACCTAGCAATGGATTCAATATAGTCATTCCACTTCATATCAGCTGAGAATGTTAGACTGAGAAAGCACAATGAGTCATTCTCATAGATGTTAGCATCAGCCATGCTGATGGGAGGCAGGGAAGTGTCTTTCAAGTGAATAATAGAAGTTTCATTTCGGAGGCCTTAAAATTAACAAGCCACTCCTTAACCCAGTTAACAAATAGTTTGATTTTTCTTTTGTTTTATTCATGGTGCCTACCTCTTTTAGTTTGTGGAAAGGAACAATAACTGGACAGTTTTTTTTATTTTTTCTGTTTCCTTTTCAATTTCTTTCTTTACAGTAATTATATATCTTGCTAGTATTTTTAATACATTTGTTTTTAATATAATCATATATAAGTTTTGTTAAATTCAACAGAAAAGGTCTAATTTTTTTGTATTTTCTAATATTCTTTTAAGTTGCACATCTAGGTCAAAATTGTGGATAAACTCTTCAAATTTCATGTTTTTGTTAGGTACTTTCAATCATCTCAGGCATTATCAAGAATTGCATAATGTCAGTATGGTGGACAAGATTTTGTTGGCTACATCCCAACATTTTTTTTTAATACTACAATGACAGTTAAAAGTAGTTTAACAAGAAACAAATTTTGAATATTTTATCCTCAATTTTTGTTTGGCTATCTAACAACTTGTCTTCATTTCTTTGCAGGATAATAAGGCCAGGACAAAATCTGTGTTTTCCCAACGTATTGCAACTGCCACCACCGCCACCACCAAAAATGGCATCAGCTTTATTACATCGCTTTAACGCTCTTTTTTTCTTGCCTTCCTCAGATAATTCCAAAGAACATTATTCCCTTTCCGTTTTTTTATGCTGAAAGAATTCTTCATCAATATTTCTGCCAGGTTTTTTTTTTTAGTAGCACCATTAGATTGAGTTCTTGTACTGCTAACTTTGAGGAAAAATCTACTGCTGCCTTTATTATATTAGGGCAACAGGATAACTTTTCTAAGTTACTTTCGGGTCTTGAATAAAAGTGAAAGTTGGAATTTAAAAAAAAAAATCATACAATAAGCTCAGAGACTAGAAATTTTTTTTTAAAAAAATCTGATAAGCGGGTGGAGAAGTGAGAACAAAGCTGAGGAGGGGGTAGAATTAGTCTAGAATTTAGCTGATTGGAACAAAGGAACAATATTAAAATTTTCTTTGACATTTTCACCGCAAATAAATATAAACCTTACAAAGCCTGTTTTTAACGTCCTTCATTGATTATTCATTTCTTCACAGAACACCTGTCATTTTTGTTTGCTGCATTCAAGTTAGAGTTAAATGAGTGGATTGCTTTGGCAAAATGTTGTAGCATACCTACGGATGATAATGGGTATGTCTCCAGTCACATAAATACAGTAGTAAATACTGTATGTTGGTGTGCCATTGGAGATTCATTGTGGAATTCACTTGACTCACTTCTAGCAGTTGAATACTTCTTCTCCCCACTGCTGGTGAATCTTATGTGTGTTGTTCTTGTCCTAAGTATTATCGTTCATTACCAACCTTTGCGTGATTTTTCTATTCAGTAACCTCCCCTAGATATCCTTGCTTTTGTGTGTCAGAGACATTTTTTTTATTTTTGCTTAACATCCTAATGTGTTTTATCTTCAGAGTCACTAATTCCTGTTCATATTCAGTTTTACAATTTCTGTTCCAGATCTGCAAAGGATTGCTTTTCTTGAATAGAACACTGCTAATTACAGGCACTTGTAAATGTTTTTTTTTTCTCAGCCATATTTTTTTATTATTATTTTTTTAACAAGTAACTAGGAAAGACAATTAAAATTTTACTTTTTGTCTGAATTTCTGGGATGAGAATTTATCATTGTTTACACTATTAATATTTGAACTCAAGCACTGCAACAGCAAATTGTCCTATAGGTGAATGGCCTAGTGAGTAAAAGCATTGATTTCTGATTGTTGGTTTTACTAGGGTGCATAGCTTAGTAAAATAAATTTTCATTAAATTTTGGAAAAATTAAGTTATCATTTAACATAGAAAATCCTCCCACTATTTTATATACAATTTAATATTTAAAATAAATACTTATTGAATAAAATGCAATACTGTTTATTGCATATCTTTTAAGTTTTTATTTATATTTCATCTGGTAAAATATATTTCATAGTAGTAGTACTGTAAATATAAACCCAGTAAGGAGAGTTTCAAATGGGCAGAGGTATTAATCCTAGGAATAAAATTTATTCCATAACCATCCCAATATCCTTTTGAATGGACAAGAATCCAGTTTCCAGTTCACCCTGCATTTGCAAGAACTATAAACAAATCACAAGGCCAAATGCTTCAAAAAGTTGGAATTGAACTGAAACTGAATTTTTTTTTCAAGGAAGTTTTCATAAAATCAATGAACAGAATGGAAGGGTTCAAATGTACACTGTAGTAATACATAAATTAGGTACTGTATAAAAGGCAGTAGCACTATACCTATAGGGGAGTTATCTTCTCTTGATGAGACTATATCTGACAGAGAGATTACCTATTGTAACAATATGGCATTGCCAATTCAGTACTTAACCATGATGAAGGATCCTGAATAAGTAGAAACCTGGCTTAAGTATTTTGCAGTGTCAGCAAAGGCAAAGTTAAAGGATACCAAATCTCATGGAGGAGAAAATGAAGTTACAGATTTGGTTTTGGCCTCAGTGGGGTGTGAAGCCATAAAAAAAAAATCTCTGTCATGGTCTATCCCTAAATGTTGGCAGATTTAGCATATGAAGAAATTGCTGCCATTATAAAAGCAAATGTACAACAAAAAAAAAAAAAAAGATTGATTATAGCAGAAACAACTAAATTTCTCAAAAGTAGACAGAGACCAGATGAAACTATTATGCAATATGTACAGTGATTGAAAGAAGCATTGAGATATTGTGAGTTTGAAAGAATGGGTTCCGAACAAATGTCTATCAAAGAGGAGTTCATTTTGCTAAGATTAAGTGAAGGAATGTTTGACATCTTGGACAAGAATAAAATTCTAGAGTGGCTTCAAGCTCATAATATGAATCTGGAAGCATGTGTGGAGTTCTTACAACAATTGGAATTGATTCAAAAATTTAATACCTCCAAAGGCAGCATAGAGACTTATAGTGCTATTAAAAGCTTACTTATATGCAAATATTGCAATAAGGAACATGAAAAGAGAAAAAATAAGTGTCCAACCTTTGGGAAATGACATTTTTAGTGTAAAAAGAGGACTCGTTTCCAGACAGTATACCCATATGGAAAGCGAGTGGAAAAGTGAAAAATATAAATCCTTCAATTGAAACTATTGAAGTATTTGAGATAAAAGCACATGATAAAAGTAGGGAAATAGTGAAGTTGAACAGAGTAACTTTATTCATGCAGGTGGGTACTGGAAGTGATGTGACATTGATACCAAGGAAAGAATGGGTAGACAAAAGTTAAAGAAAATTAATCTCCAGTTGAAACAGTTTCATTGGTCAGTCATCAAAATTTTAGAATGCTTTGAAGGTATGTTTGAGACCAAAAGTAGATTCAAGATAATACTCATCATAGTGGTGGCAAACATCAAAAGCCATGGTCTTTTAGGAACTGACATGTTAAGAGTGGATACTTCAAAGTTGATAAATTCCATGAAATCAGTAGAACCAGAGATTGGATTATTAAGGGGATATGAGGTGAGTATTCAGCTTAAAGAAAGTCAACCCATGTATTTTCAAGCCTGAAAAGTTCCTGTTCATGTTCTACCTTTGATGGTTGCTAAGCTAAACAAAATGGTGGAACAAGAAATATTAGAGAAAGTCAGTGAGGGTGGTAGCAATTGGGCTGCACTCATTGTGGCAATACCCAAGAATTTGTGGTGATTATATGGTGGGCTTGAATCACCAGATCTGTACAGATTCATTCCCATTGACAAACATTGAAACAGTTCCACGAGTTTGCTGGTATTAAATACTTAGTATTAAAACAGATATGGCATTACAGAAGGGTTGAGATAACCAATATACATATGAATGTGTTAATAAGTTTCATTCTATTTACCAAGAATTTTTTTTGTCAGCCCATCATGCAAGGCAGAAATAAGTGAGAACAGCAACACAAAAGCTGGTCAGACAACATCAAAGTGTGTGTGACACTATTTAGCTATGGTAATTGGCTAACTAATTAACCATAGAAATTAAAAACCGGAAATACTTAAGGCAAGAAAGAGTTATATCGAAAGATAGACTGAGTGACATTAAAAAGAAGAATTTATTTTATTTACAAAAAAAGATACTTTTTGCAAAAGACAGAAAATCCGTAAGAAAAAGCAAGATTGTGATTCTGTCAAAATTAATGTCATGATAAGGGAGTGACGCCTAATGAAACAGAATTCAGACAGAGAGGCAGAAGCCGGCCACACAGGGTGGCCATAAAAACATTTTGGCATGAACAAAGCTGCAGTACAGGTGGGAAGAATCAACATTAATTATCTTTCAGAGATATCATTTAACTTTAATTCCTGGTTCCAGCGAAGAAAGCCATCTTGTATATGCATGAATCTTGGCATGAGAAGGAAAATCGAAAAGGGAATCATTATTATTGCTTATTCAAACTGTTGACGTCAGACAGTGTCTCAGAAATGAACATCTGGTGATAAGAGAATTTTAAGGCATGAGAAAAATAAAGAATTTGATTCTCAGGTAAACACGACCACCCAGTTAAAAGTTGACTATCGAAGAAACCAGGTGTTGGGTTTTGATAGTGATTAATGAGTTGGTAGAGGTCCGGGCTAAGTGGATTTTGGTTGTCCCCAAAATCAAGATGTGATAAGAATTATTTGACAATCTGGGATTTGTAAATGTTTTGACCAAAGGAAAAGGAAAAAGAAAAAAAGGATTTTGTAAACAAAATTCTGGAATAATTCCAAGAGGGCCAGTCTAGTCACACCCACACTGCCGAGATGGTAGCATGGGTGATAGGCGGAGGTGAATGTATGAGAAAGATGGAGAAGTTGTTAACACCCAATGAGGGGATTGGTATGAGATACCAATGTGAGAGAGGAAGAGTCTAGGAGGATAACTCTCCTCCAACCTTCCCTCATGGACGAGAGAGGAACCCCCAAAGTGGAAAGTGATTAATCTTCCAAAAATGGGAAGTAATTAATTTTCCTGGCCTAAGAATAAAGAGAATTCTTGTTGGGAATTGAGAATTATCAAGGAATCCAAACCACGTCAGGCCCCCACACCGGGTTTTGGCCGGTATCCATATAAACGAACGTCTCAAGGCAGTCAGTGAGTTCCAGTTGGTTTGAAAAGTTGGAGAGTTGAGTTGGAGACCAGCCTCGCAGAAGCTGACTAAAAGATTTCCACATCCTCTCTCGACTTAGTCTTCCTACCAAAAGCAAGTTTTATTGACGAACAATTAAAGATACCATAATTTGCTTAAGAAACACAAAAAGTGTCACAAATCCATAGAAACAGGCTGGGAGAGAAACACACTCCTGTATTCAACAGACAGATAAAGATAATTGTTATTTCTTAACATATGTGAGTTTGTTTTATTATTTTTTTTATCACCTTTACCCCAGATTCAGCTTGCACTACGGCCCAACGCCTGATTGATTTTGTCTACCTAAGATCAAAGTCACAACGTGAATAGGTTAGACTTTAGATCAAAGCAGTTACTTCGGTGACCAGATGTTGGAGGCGAGCTGAGAACGACAAAGCTGGTATTGAACCAGGAATGACCAGATCGACCGGAAATCAGGCTGGTGGCAGTGACAAAGAGTCAACCC